GGGCACCAAAGTAGTTCTAGATGGCACCAAAGTATTTATTTAGTATTATTTAGAGATGACAACATTCTTGGAAAGTATGTAGACCGAAATAAATCACTATTGAAATGATATCAATGTGAAGCTGTCCATTCCACTGAAGTTCTGATAGCTTTCATCGTTTAATTTCCATGTCTCTCTTTTATAATAAACAAATAATATAATTAATGATAGAAGTAAAATCCAAATGCTGTCCAGGCACGGTGGCTCACACCTGTAATCCCAGCACTTTGGGAGGCCGAGGTGGGTGGATCACTTGAGGTCAGGAGTTCGAAACCAGCCTGTCCAACATGGCGAAACCCTGTCTCTACTTAAAATACAAAATTAGCCGGGCATGGTGGTGCATGCCTGTAATCCCAGCAACTCGGGAGGCTGAGGCAGGAGAATTGCTTGAACCTGGGAGGTGGAGGTTGTAGTGAGCCAAGATTGTGCCACTGCACTCCAGCCTGGGCAACAAGAGCAAAATTCCATCTCAGAAAAAGTAAATAAATAAATCAAATGCTGGCATTGTCCAGAAAAAACTTACAGGTGTGTTTATAATTGTTATAAAGGTGAACTGCTGAAACTTGTTCAGTGAAATATTTTGATTCGATTTGAATTAATGCTTCAATTTTATATTAGAAATTCACACACACAAGTTAAAATAGAAAAACTGCAAATACCTGTTTTCTGTCCCATTTTTCTACTTATAGTCTTATATGTAGTTACCTTTTGACCCCATGGGGAATATATATATATCTAACATAGGGAGCTACAAATAACAGAAAAAAAATAGTTTTTTTTGGACAATGAAATGTTTCTTGATCTTAAGCACATTCTCCACGTAACTGGCATGCTAGCTGGATGTCTTTTGGCATACTTGTTACATATTTGGCATGAGTAGCACAAAAGTTGATGTCTTCATAAAGGCGCATCAGATAGGCTTCACTTGCCTCCTGTGAAGCACCAATAGCTGGAAGTGAAGATTTGTTTTGAAGTATGAGCAACTTCTTGCATCAGATGCTGGAAAGGAAGTTTGCTAATCAGAAGTTCAGTGGCCTTCTCATGAGATCTGTTTTCACAGAGTACCACAGTACCAGACCTGTATTAATGAGGTATCTTCATTCTTCCATTAAAGGGTATACTCTTGTGAGTGACTTCTGTAGCCAGTTGCTTCATGGGTGCTTTACCACTGGGTTAATTTGCTGGTAATCTGCCTTGTACTAGTCATGATCTAGAGACCTCCTTACTTATCCCCCTTCTCAGCAAGCTAGAGGTAGCACAGGCATTAGAGATGAGGGCACCACTGTGGCAGGCAGTGGCTGAGGACACTTAAATATAGTGCTTTCTTATTATTATCTTACCTAAATCTCACAACCTTGAGCAGGGATGCAGGTACAATTAATACTCTTATAATCACAAATTTAAATAACATAAAATAATTAAGTAGAAGAACAGGTCCTTTCACCAGTTGGTCATCTTTTAGTCTAACAGTGTTTTTTAACCTTGTTATTGGGGTTTGTTAATTCTAGTTATCAATGTTTTATTTATTCTGATTATATTTATGATTAAAAATAGAGTGAGACTCATGTGTATGCGTGTGTGTGTGTGTGTGTGTGTGTGTGTGTGTCTTAGTCTCAGTCTCTTGTTTTTAACTTTTTTTTGGAAACAGGGTCTTGCTGTGTTGCCTGGGCAGGACTTGAACTCCTGGGCTCAAACCGTCTTCCCACCTCAGCCTCCTGAGTAGCTGGGACTACAGGTGCCCGCTTTTGTTTGTTCAAACAGCACTTAAGGGTCCTTTTTTTTTTTTTGAGACGGAGTTTCGCTCTTGTTACCCAGGCTGGAGTGCAATGGCACGATCCCGGCTCACCGCAACCTCCGCCTCCTGGGTTCAGGCAATTCTCCTGCCTCAGCCTCCTGAGTAGCTGGGATTACAGGCACGCACCACCATGCCCAGCTAATTTTTTTTGTCTTTTTAGTAGAGACGGGGTTTCACCATGTTGACCAGGATGGTCTCGATCTCTTGACCTTGTGATCCACCCGCCTCGGCCTCCCAAAGTGCTGGGATTACAGGCTTGAGCCACCGCGCCCAGCCAAGGGTCCTTTTATAGGACTTCTCTTGAAGATAACTCTCTCCAGTTTTAGTGGCCCAGAATGGCTTTCTCCTTGGCTTACTCAATCCAGTAAATGGTTAGCAGAAAATAATATAAGTGTTTCTAAGTACTAGTGAGGGATAATCTAAGGAAGGGAGCCTCAGCAATTCCTATCCTTTACCTTTAACTCCTGATCAACAAGGTGCTATTTTTGGGTTCAGGTCCCACTGAGCAACAAACCAACCATACGGATTAGTTTGATATTAAGGAGGCTGGAAAGAACTTTAGGACTTGGACTGACATCCTGGTGGACATGAGTTACCTGGTTTAGATTGTTCAACTGTAACTCCAGTGACAACTTCCCTTAGGTTGCTCAGATCATAGTATGAATATTAAGTGTGCTAAGTAGTAGCTTGCTTGTAAGTAAGAACTCTGGCTTTTGATCTCTCATGCTGTATTTAGTAGCATGAGAATATGGAACAAGCACCACTTTCTGCATTTGGAAGAGATTTATTTATTGAACAAGATAATTACTTACTGGAATTATCCCTAGAGCTTGTAATCAAGCTTGGGCTTTCAGCTAATATTTTTTTTAAATTTTACTCCTTTTTTTTTTTTCCTTTTTCCTCTTTAACCTGTCCTTTATGTTAGTTGAGATGATGTTTTTATTTCTTTAATGAGAGCCAGTAATCTACAGACCTACACAAGAGTTCTTAGAAATTTTTTCTCGTTGTTAAAACCAAGCTTTCCTGGGTCGGGTGCGGTGGCTTACTCCTGTAATCCCAGCACTTTGGGAGGCCGAGGCGGGTGGATCACGAGGTCGAGAGATCGAGACCATCCTGGTCAACATGGTGAAACCCCGTCTCTACTAAAAATACAAAAAATTAGCTGGGCATGGTGGCGCGTGTCTGTAATCCCAGCTACTCAGGAGGCTGAGGCAGGAGAATTGCCTGAACCCGGGAGGCGGAGGTTGCGGTGAGCTGAGATCGCACCATTGCACTCCAGCCTGGGTAACAAGAGCGAAACTCCGTCTCAAAAAAAAACAAAAACAAAAACAAAAAACAAAACAAAAAAAAAACAGGCTTTCCTAATTCTAAGTATTTTTTTTTTTTTTTTTTGAGACGGAGTTTCGCTCTTGTTACCCAGGCTGAAGTGCAATGGCGCGATCTCGGCTCACCGCAACCTCCGCCTCCCGGGTTCAGGCAATTCTCTTGCCTCAGCCTCCTGAGTAGCTGGGATTACAGGCACGTGCCACCATGCCCAGCTAATTTTTTGTATTTTTAGTAGAGACGGGGTTTCACCATGTTGACCAGGATGGTCTCGATCTCTCGACCTCGTGATCCACCCGCCTCGGCCTCCCAAAGTGCTGGGATTACAGGCTTGAGCCACCGCGCCCGGCTCCTAATTCTAAGTATTATCTACCTTGACTTTACTGTTTTGCCCCCCGTATAACAGCATTATAAAAGGAGTCATACCTGTAATCCCAGCACTTTAGGAGCCTGAGGTGGATAGATCATCTAAGGTCCGGAGTTCGAGACCTGGCTAAATGTGGCAAAACCCTGTCTGTACTAAAAATACAAAAAATAGCCATGTGTGGTGGCACACACCTGTAGTCCCAGCTACTTGGAAGGCTGAGGCAGGAGAATTGCTTGAACCCGGAAAGCAGAGGTTGCAGTGAGCCAAGATTGTGCCACCGCACTCCAGCCTGGGCTACAGAGTGAGACTCTGTCTCAAAAAAAAAAAAGGAGTATATTATATGTAATTGTCTTGAAGAAATGATTTATTCTGTTAGGTAAAGAAATAACTGTTTAAAGGTAGAACTGTGAACCCTTGTCAATAAGTTTGTCTCCCTGAAAGTTTCAAGAAGCTTTAGCCCAAATACTTTGGTTTTTTGTTGTTGTTGTTGTTGTTTTTGTTGAGAGTCTCACTCTGTTGCTTAGGCTCAAGTGCAGTGGCGCAATCGTGGCTTACTACCACTTTCACTTCTCAGGCTCAAAGAGTCCTCTCACCACAGCCTCTCAAAGTATTGGGATTACAGGCGTGAGTCACCACACCTGCCTCCAAATATTTTTCAATGAGCACCTTATTAATGTTCTAGGTCATGCTAGTCATTTTCTTGTGTTTTTTTTTTTTTTTTTTTGAGACGGAGTTTCGCTCTTGTTACCCAGGCTGGAGTGCAATGGCGCGATCTCGGCTCACCACAACCTCCGCCTCCTGGGTTCAGGCAATTCTCCTGCCTCAGCCTCCTGAGTAGCTGGGATTACAGGCACGTGCCACCATGCCCAGCTAATTTTTTGTATTTTTTTAGTAGAGACGGGGTTTCACCATGTTGACCAGGATGGTCTCGATCTCTCGACCTCGTGATCCACCCGCCTCGGCCTCCCAAAGTGCTGGGATTACAGGCTTGAGCCACCGCGCCCGGCCATTTTCTTGTTTCTTTCTTTTTTTTTTTGAGACGGAGTTTCGCTCTTGTTACCCAGGCTGGAGTGCAATGGCGTGATCTTGGCTCACCTCAACCTCCGCCTCCTGGGTTCAGGCAATTCTCCTGCCTCAGCCTCCTGAGTAGCTGGGATTACAGGCACGCGCCACCATGCCCAGCTGATTTTTTGTATTTTTGGTAGAGACGGGATTTCACCATGTTGACCAGGATGGTCTCGATCTCTTGACCTCGTGATCCACCCGCCTCGGCCTCCCAAAGTGCTGGGATTACAGGCTTGAGCCACCACGCCCGGCTTCTTGTTTCTTTAGACTGTTGATTTAGGTTCCTCATCTTGCTAATACTCATGATCATATTATTTATAAATTTGGATTACAAGGGGAGTGATATGTTACTATGGTATAGATACAATGTGGATATTGTTACATAGTGACCCTTTTCTTGTTATTTTTCAGTGTTCCATTGGCAAGCTACAATAATGGGACCAGTAAGTATTCAGATTAATTTCAGAATAAACAGTTTATGTAGTTTACTCATTTTAATCCCACTTTTCTTGTCATCAACAGAATGACAGTCCCTATCAGGGTGGAGTATTTTTCTTGACAATTCATTTCCCAACAGATTACCCCTTCAAACCACCTAAGGTAATTGGAATGTGGCAGTTGTTTTTAATCTATTTTCTACAATACTAATAAACTAGTTTACAAAGTTTCCTTTCTTTCTGTAGGTTGCATTTACAACAAGAATTTATCATCCAAATATAAACAGTAATGGCAGCATTTGTCTTGATATTCTGCGGTCACAGTGGTCTCCAGCACTAACTATTTCAAAAGGTAACAATGGGTATTTGATATCAAGATAAAGGATAAAGCAACCGTGTCTTTTTGTCTTTTTTAAGTTATTTAGTTTTGAAAAGAATACTCATGTTTCTTTGAAGAAGAGGTGGCAATTCTTACTCTGAAATGGACCTCGAGAACTGGAAAAGAGTTGGATTTTTCAAGCAAAAGTATTCCTTGGTGTGGTGACTAGTCTGTCAGTTGTGCTACTCAAGCATAGTTAGAAGATGGACACTGGTATGAATGTTTTTGTTTTTGTTTCTTGAGACAGAGTCTCGCTGTTGTCGCCCAGGCCGGAGTGCAGTGGTGTGATCTCAGCTCACTTGCAACCTCTGCTTTCTGGGTTCAAGCAGTTCTCCTGCCTCAGCCTCCCAAGTAGCTGGGATTACAGGTGCCTGCCACTACTGCCAGCTAATTTTTATGTTTTTAGTAGAGATGGGTTTTGTCATATTGGCCAGGCTGGTCTCGAACGCCTGACCTCATGATCTGCCTGCCTCAGCCTCCCAAAGTGCTGGGATTACAGGTGTGAGCCACAGCGCCCAACCAAATAATCTAGAAATTTATTAAGGAAAACAAAAATGAAAGTTTGTGGCCAGTCATGGTGGCTCATGCATGTAATCCCAGCACTTTGGGAGGCCGAGGTGGGTGGATCATTTGAGGTCAGGAATTCCAGACCATGGTCAACATGATGAAACCCTGTCTCTACTAAAAATACAAAATTGGGGCCGGGCGCGGTGGCTCAAGCCTGTAATCCCAGCACTTTGGGAGGCCGAGGTGGGTGGAGGATCACGAGGTCGAGAGATCGAGACCATCCTGGTCAACATGGTGAAACCCCGTCTCTACTAAAAATACTAAAAATTAGCTGGGCATGGTGGCGTGTGCCTGTAATCCCAGCTACTCAGGAGGCTGAGGCAGGAGAATTGCCTGAACCCAGGAGGCGGAGGTTGCGGTGAGCCGAGATCGCGCCATTGCACTCCAGCCTGGGCAACAAGAGTGAAACTCCGTCTCAAAAAAAAAAAAAAAATACAAAATTAGCTGGACATGGTGGCACGTACCTGTAATTCCAGCTACTTGGGAGGCTGAGGCAGGAGAATCTCTTGAACCTGGGAGGCGGAGTTTGCAGTGAGCCAAAATCATGTCACTGCACTCCAGCCTGGGCGAAAGGGTGAGACGTGAGACTCTGTCTCAAAAAAAAAGAATATTTATCAGTTCTCACCACTCTGTTCTGGAAGGTAATAAAAGAAAAGAGCTCACAGGATGTACTTTTCTGAAAATGAAATCAGTTGTTTAAGAGAAAAATCAAATATGGTAATGGGTTAATATGTGTAAAATATGAAGTATAAAAGTCAGGAAAAAATTCAGATCCCAATAGATGAATGGACACGGGAACCAAGGATTAAAGAAGTAAATGTTAAGTTCCCATTTTTCATCTTTTTAATTAACAGAGATCTTTTAAAAAGAATATGAAATGCTAACGAGGTACATTGAAATGAACACTCATATACTTCAAGTAGAAGTATAGATTTGTAGAGCCCAGTCTGCCATTATGTATTTAGAGACTTCTATGTCTATGCCCATTCGTCTATGCCCATTCACCGAATAATTCTGGTTTCATTTATTTATTCTAAGAAAACAATCCCAAATGCTGAAAAAGCTTTGTATCCAAGTACATTTGTGAGAGAGTGAATTAATTCTGGAAATGAGAAATTACTTACAGTAGAGGAAGAAATAAATTGGTTCTAGCATATGCATTTAAAAGAGTATTGATCCTGGCTAGGGATGGTGGCCAATGCCTGTAATCCCAGCACTTTGTGAGGCTGAGGTGGCAGATTACTTGAGGCCAGGAGTTCAAGACCAGCTTGGCCAACGTGGCAAAATCCTGTCTTTACTAAAAATACAAAAATTAGCCAGGTGTGATGACGTGCGCCTGTAGTCCCAGCAATGCAGGAGGCTGAGGCAGGAGAATCACTTGAACACAGGAGACAAAGGTTGCAGTGAGCCAAGATGGTACCACTGCACTCCACCGTGGGTGACAGAGGGAGACTCTCTCTCAAAAAAAAGAATATTGATCCTTACAAATATTGTGAAAATAGGAAAGTACTGTGTTTGAAAAAAGCAGAAAAGAGTTATATAGAGCAAGAGTTATATAGAAAAGTATGTTAATTGGCCAGAAATTGACAAGCAATGTTAGTTTGGTATTTGTGTGGTGAAATATGGTGTGAAATTGTTGTTGTTGTTGTTGAGATGAAGTTTCATTCTTGTTGCCCAGGCCAGAATGCAGTGATGCAATCTCAGCTCACTGCAAACTTGGCCTCCCAAGTTCAAGTGATTCTCCTGCCTTAGCCTCACATGTAGCTGTGATTACAAGTGCCCACCTCCATATCAAGCTAATTTTTGTATTTTTAGTAGAGATGGGGTTTCACCATGTCGGCCTGGCTGGTCTTGAACTCCTGATCTCAGGTGATCTGCCTGCCCGACCTCAGGTGATCCTCTTGCTTTGGCCTCCCAAAGTGCCGGGATTATAGGCCTGAGCCACTACACCTGACCACAAATTAATTTTTTAAAGCAAACAAAACTGTGAGACATTAATTTAAAATTTCTAGAGTCCTAAGCAGAAATAAAAACAGAATGCCAGAGAACCACATTTTTTAAAGTTGTAATGAAATAGTTTTTTAGAGAAGTATCTTATTTTCTTTTCATGGTCTCCCTTACAATTCAGGAGCTACTTGAGAATGTGTTTGTGGACCTGTTTTTATAATTGCCTGGCCTGGTGAAGTTCCTATTGGTTGCACTTCCTTTACCCAGTAGCAATAGAGATAAAAATCTAGTAATGGGACCAAGAGAAGTGGAATTCTGTAAGAGGTGTGTGTTTGGTGGGGTGGGGTATTCAAGGCAAAAGATAGCTGAAATTATTGCCATATCTCTTTTTGTTTTTCCCCTTCTCTTGCTTAGCCTTGATTTTTTTTTTTCAGCTATTGTAAATGAGGGTTGTTACAAGTTTGATTTGTTAGGTTCTCTCTAGCTGGATAGCTATCCTTTAAATAATTGCAATGCCATTTTGTTGAATTTGATTGTATTAACTGTCTTAAGTTTAAGGTTTTTCTTTGTTGTTTTTTTATCCTTTTGAGACAGACTCTCGCTGTGTTGCCCAGACTGGAGTGTAGTGGTGCAATCTTGGCTCACTGCAACATCTGCCTCCCGGGTTCAAGCGATTCTTCTGCCTCAGCCTCTCCAAAGTAGCTGGGACTATAGGTGCATGCCACCATGCCTGGCTAATTTTTTGTATTTTTAGTAGAGACGGGGTTTCACTGTGTTAGCCAGGATGGTCTCAATCTCCTGACCTCGTGATCCACCCACCTGGGCCTCACAAAGGTTTAAGGTTTTAATGAGTCTCTTTTGTAAATGGAATGTATGTTCAAGTAGTTTTATGAAACACCTTAATCCTGTGTGATATTATTTCTTTAACATATAGTCTGTCTTCAAGGACAGAAATTTTGACCCAGTATTCCCTCTACTTTGAAGATGCGTGATGGGAACCTAAATATAAAAAAAAAGGAAGTAAATAAGTGTGCCATAAAGCCATTTGATTGTATGTTTTTAGAGTGAATGTAACTGTGGGTTATAACACTAGTGAAAATGATTAATACTGTCCAGGCAACACGGCTTATGCCTGTAATCCACCTTGGAAGGCTGAGGAGGGTGGATCACTTGAGGTCAGTTCAAGAACAGCCTGGCCAACATGGTGAAACCCCATTTCTACCAGTAATAAAGAAATCAGCTGGGCATGGTGGTGTGTGTCTGTAGTCCCAACTACTCAGGAGGCTGAGGCACGAGAATCGCTTGAACCCAGGAGGCAGAGTTTGCAGTGAGCCAAGACCATGCCACTGCACTGTAGCCTGGACAACAGAGCAAGACTCTGTCCCCGCCCCCCCACCAAAAAAAAAGCAGTACTGATGAAGAATACATATAGGTAAGGCCGGGCACGGTGGCTCAAGCCTGTAATCCCAGCACTTTGGGAGGCCGAGGCGGGTGGATCACGAGGTCGACAGATCGAGACCCTCCTGGTCAACATGGTGAAACCCCATCTCTACTAAAAATACAAAAAATTAGTTGGGCATGGTGGCACGTGCCTGTAATCCCAGCTACTCAGGAGGCTGAGGCAGGAGAATTGCCTGAACCCAGGAGGCGGAGGTTGCGGTGAGCCGAGATCATGCCATTGCACTCCAGCCTGGGTAACAAGAGCAAAACTCCGTCTCAAAAAAAAAGAATATATGTAGGTAAAAGTTTAGTGAAGAGACTATACAGTTTATAGAAGTAAGGGTTATTCTCTTTACAGAAGAGGAAGGTATATATGTATCAGTCCATTCTTGCACTGCTATAAAGAAATACCTGAGACAGGATAATTTATAAGGAAAAGAGGTTTAATTGGCTCACAGTTTCAGGGGCTATCTAGGAAGTATGGTGGCATCTGCTTCTGGGAAGGCCTCAGGGAGCTTTTACTCATGGCAGAAGACAGAGTTAGAACCACCTGTCTCACATGGCAGGAGCAGGACCAAGAGAGAGATAGGAGGAGGTGCCACACGCTATTAAACAACCAGATCTAGGCCGGGCACGTGGCTCACGCCTGTAATCCCAGCACTTTGGGAGGCTGAGGCAGGTGGATCACGAAGTCAAGAGATCGAGACCATCCTGGTCAACATGGTGAAACCCCGTCTCTACTAAAAATACAAAAAATCAGCTGCGTATGGTGGCGCGTGCCTGTAATCCCAGCTACTCAGGAGGTTGAGGCAGGAGAATTGCCTGAACCCAGGAGGCAGAGGTTGTGGTGAGCCGAGATCGCGCCATTGCACTCCAGCCTGGGTAACAAGAGCGAAACTCCATCTCAAAAAAAAAAAAAAAAGTATCCTTTAAAGTTGACTTACTAGAATAACAAGAAGAATGAGTTAAAAGGAACATTCAAAAATTTCTAACTCTTTGTTGTCATTTCCAGGAAATACATGAAGTTTTTCCTAATTGATGTTAGAATGTTCTGTGCTTGAAGAGGGCTTCAGGTTGTGACACCTGACAATGGGAAAATGTTTTTGAAATGCCAGCTGCCAGAATTGTGGGCAACAGGAATGAAGAGTCAGAAAACATCTTTCCCGATTTAAAAAAAAAAAAAGCCAGCTTTTCATATTCTCTCTGTCTCTCTCTCTCTCTCTCTCTCTCTCTCTCTCTCTCTCTCTCTCTTTTTGAGTCAGAATCTCGCTCAGTTGCCCAGGCTGGAGTATAGTGGTGCAATCTTGGCTCACTGCAACCTCTGCCTCCCGGGTTCAAGCAGGTCTTCCTGCTTTAGCCTCCCAAGTAGCTGGGATTACAGATGCCCACCACCATGCCCAGCTAATTTTTTTGTTTTGTTTTGTTTTTTGAAATGGAGTCTCACTCTGTCCCCAGGCTGGAGTACGGTAACACCATCTCGGCTCACTGCAACCTCCGCCTCCTGGGTTCAAGTGGTTCTCTTGCCTCAGCCTCCTGAGTAGCTGGGATTACAGGCATGTACTACCATGCCCAGCTAATTTTTGTATTTTTAGCAGAGATGGGGTTTCACCATCTTGGCCAGGATGGTCTTGATATCTTGACCTCGTCATCCACCTACCGCAGCCTCCCAAAGTGCTGGGATTATAGGCATGTGCCACCATGCCTGGCCAATTTTTTGTATTTTTAGTAGAGACAGGATTTTGGCATGTTGCCCAGGCTGGTCTCAAACTCCTAACCTCAGGTGATCTGCCTACCTTGGCCTCCCAAAGTGCTGGGATTACAGGTGTGAGCCACTGCGCCCCACCCATATACTCTTAAGACAAGGAAATAGCATTTTTGTTACCAAACTGAATGATAAAGGGCATGTGAACTTTTTTTTTACTTCTCAGAAGCCCTTGATCTCTATAGGATAGATTTGATAGAAAAATGAGTGAATTTTTTCCCTGCTGAATTTATGTGTTGGGAGGAAAGTGGGCTCAGTTATTATCTCTTTGTACAGAATGTTAGAGAAAAGTAAGATAGCTTGAGCTCTATTAGCATTAGTATAGAGGATTTAAATTTATTTCATTGTGTCTGAGGCTACTGAACTTAATATAATCAGTGACCTTATGCCCTCCTTTGCATTCAGTAGGGAATGCATAAGTAATGATAGATACGGCAAAGTGTGGTAGTTCACACCTGTAATCCCAGCACTTCAGGAGACTGAGGCTATTGAATCACTTGAGCCTAGGAGATCAAGACTAGCCTGGCCAACATGGTGAAACCCAATCTCTACAAGAAAAAAAAAATTAGCTGGACATGGTGATGCTTACCTTTAGTCTCACCTGGAGAGTGAGGTGAGAGGATGACTTTTCACCTGTAATCCCAGGTACTTGGGAGGCTGAGGCATGAGAATTGCTCGAACCCAGGAGGCAGAGGTTGCAGTGAGCCAAGGTTGCATCACTGTACTCAAGCCTAGGTGACAGATTGAGACCCCTTCTCTAAGTAAATAAATAATAAATAAATAAATATTTTAGAACATAAGTTAATGACAGATTTGAACAAAGGAAATTACACTATTGAGATTTGTCTGCTACATCCCAGGTTGTCACCGAGGAAATGGCTTAGATGAGATTCTAAATCGTCACTGAAGAGAATTTGAGACATTCATAGAAGTATGTTGTATTCTCTGTAATGAGTGTATGGCCATCCCCATTTGGGGGCAAGTGTTTGCATTTATGTTCTTGATTTAAATGAAATTGTTTTCAACTGAAAATGAAACAAAACAATTATCTGAATGTGATGCCTGCCACTGAAGAACAGTGATTGTTGGATTTTATGGCTGTCATTTTTGCTAAGAATATTCAGCAGCGTGGCTGTCTTTTTTTTTTTTTTTTTTTTTTTTTGAGACAGGATCTCACTCTGTCACCCGGGTTGGAGTGCAGTGGTGCAAACACAGCTCAATGCTGCCTTGACCTCCTGGGTGTAAGTGATCCTCTCACCTCAGCCTCCTAAGCAGCTGGGACCACAGGAATGTGTCACCACATCTGGTTTTTTTAATTTATTATTTTTTGTAGAGACAGAATCTCACTAGAATGGTCTCAGACTCCTGGCCTGAAGCATTTCTTCTGCCATGGCCTCCCAAAGTGCCAGGATCACAGGAGTGAGCCATTGCACTTGGCCTGTCTTTGGAATTTTGAAAGCCATTTATTCTTGAAAATTGGTTTCTAAAAATTGTACTTTATGAGATCTGAAAAATGTTCTTGGTCTAGGATTTAGACCAAGTTCTAATTCTATTCTAATTACTAGTCAGGGACATTGAACAGGTCACTGCACCTGTCTGGGCCAGCTCCCTTGTGAGTTTAGGCATATAGTCATATCAACTCTTACATCATGGGATTATTGTGAGACTTTGCACAAAGGGGCTTATATTCATATCTGGGAGACCAAGGTGCCATGTAACATTAATTTTCTATTTGTTTACATTTTTACTTTTTAATGACCTAACCTGAAGTCTATTTAAGCTTCTTAAAATCTGTGTTGATTACTGTCAATATAAAGTTAAGTAAAACTTAGAAAGCTGCTAGGCATTACAGTATAAATTCTTAGAATTTTCTCATGTTTTGGCGTCTCGTGTGTCTCTCAGCCCTTTGCTTTTATCCTCTACTAATTTATACAAATTGTTTTCATTCTAGTACTCTTGTCCATCTGTTCTCTGTTGTGTGATCCCAATCCAGATGATCCTTTAGTGCCTGAGATTGCTCGGATCTACAAAACAGATAGAGAAAAGTAAGTATGGCTTCAAGATGGAAAGTTATCTGTGGTGGGATGGAGATGTTTGTCACAAATCTTTCTTAAGGGCTGAATATGGGCCAGATACTTAAAATGAAGTCCTACTATACTTATATTCCTAATATAAATTTTTATATTCCTAATATAAAGAGGAATATATGCATTGAGTATCATAAGTAGACAATGCCGGCCAGGTCCAGTGGCTCACTCCTGTAATCCCAGCATTTTGGGAGGCTGAGACAGGCGGATCACAAGGTCAGAAGATCAAGACTGTCCTGGCCAACATGGTGAAACCCTGTCTCTACTTGAAATACAAAAAAATTAGCTGGGCATGGTGGTGCATGCCTGTAGTCCCAGCTACTCGAGAGGCAGAGGCAGGAGAATTGCTTGAACCCAAGAGGCAGAAATTGCAGTGAGCTGAGATCATGCCACTGCACTACAGCCTGGGCGACAGTGCAAGACTCTGTCTCAAATTAAATAAATAAATAAATAAATAAATAAATAAGTAGATGATGCCAGTCTTACCCCTGATTGTTTCATAAGATTCCCCTTGTCTACAAAAAACTTTTTTTTTTTTTTTTGAGACGGAATTTCGCTCTTGTTACCCAGGCTGGAGTGCAATGGCGCGACCTCGGCTCACCGCAACCTCCGCCTCCTGGATTCAGGCAATTCTCCTGCCTCAGCCTCCTAAGTAGCTGGGATTATAGGCACGCACCACCATGCCCAGCTAATTTTTTTTGTATTTTTAGTAGAGACGGGGTTTCACCATGTTGACCAGGTTGGTCTCGATCTCTCGACCTCGTGATCCACCTGCCTCGGCCTCCCAAAGTGCTGGGATTACAGGCTTGAGCCACCGCGCCCGGCCGACTTTTTTTTTTTTTAATTATTATTATTACTATTTTTTTTTGAGACAGAGTTTTGCTCTTGTTACCCAGGCTGGAGTGCAATGGCGTGATCTCGGCTCACCGCAACCTCCGCCTCCTGGGTTCAGGCAATTCTCCTGTATCAACCTCCTGAGTAGCTGGGATTACAGGCATGCGCCACCATGCCCAGCTAATTTTTTGTAGTTTTTTGTAGAGGCAGGGTTTCACCATGTTGACCAGGATGGTCTTGATCTCTTGACCTCGTGATCCACCCGCCTCGGCCTCCCAAAGTGCTGGGATTACAGGCTTGAGCCACCGCTCCCAGCCTTAATTATTATTTTTTTAGAGACAGGGTTTCACTGTATTAGCCAGGATGGTCTTGATCTCCTGATCTTGTGATCTGCCTTCCTCGGCCTCCCAAAGTGCTGGGATTACAGGCATGAGCCACTGCACCCAGCCCTAAAAAAGTTTTTTTTTTTTTCTTTTTTTTTCTGAGACAGGGTCTCACTCTGCCACCCAGGCTGGAGGGCTATGGTGTGATCTACGCTCATCGCAACTTTGGCCTCCTGGGTTCGAGCAATTCTTGTGCCTCAGTCTCCTGCGTAGCTGGTGTTACAGGCACAGGCCATCACGCCAGGCTCTTTTTTTTTTTTTTTTTTTTTTAATTTTTAATAGAGATAGGTTTCAATATGTTGGCTAGGCTGGTTTCGAACTTCGAACCTCAAATGATATGCCCACCTAGGCCTCCCAGAGTGCTGGGATTACAGGCGTGAACCGCTGTGCCCATACAAAAGCTTTTCTGTGGTATATTTTTCAACAGCTTAATGCCTTATGCTTGTCTTTTGATACATAAAGCATTTTTCTTCAAGTGCCCATTTGCCTCTCATAGGTATTTGTGAATTAGTTCGAAAAGAGAATTGATTTTCTACTATTTGACATAATCTAAAGGAAGAAAAAAAATAAATGCTATTAGACATGAAAGCCCTGAATTTCTTTTAAAAACAAAATTTGGGCCGGGTGCGGTGGCTCAAGCCTGTAATCCCAGCACTTTGGGAGGCCGAGGCAGGTGGATCACGAGGTCGAGAGATCAAGACCATCCTGGTCAACATGGTGAAACCCCGTCTCTACTAAAAATACAAAAATTAGCTGGGCATGGTGGCGCGTGCCTTTAATCCCAGCTACTCAGGAGGCTGAGGCAGGAGAATTGCCTGAGCCCAGGAGGCGGAGGTTGCGGTGAGCCGAGATTGTGCCATTGCACTCCAGCCTGGGTAACAAGAACGAAACTCCGTCTCAAAAAAAAAAAAAAAAAAAAAAAAAATTTGATGTAGGATTTGGATATTTTAGAATTGTACTATGAATTATTGAACAGTGGTCAAGATATCAAAAGAGATAGTAGCTAAAAGTGTTTTAGTAGCACTTTTTCTTTTCTTTTTCTTTTTTTTTTTTGAGATGTAGTCTTGCTATGTTGCCTACACTGATCTCAAAACCCTGGGCTCAAGCAGTCCTCCTTCCTCAGCCTCTGAGTAGCTAGGCTTATAAGCATATACCACCATGCCTAGCACTAATAACATCTGTTGTTTTATGTACTATTCAGTGAAATTATAGGAGGAACTAGATAGGAGAGGTTGGATAGTTTTTTGTTTGTTTTTTTGTTTTTCAATTAAAATAGAGGGCGAATCACAAGGTCAGGAGTTTGAGACCAGCCTGTGCAACATGATGAAACCTGTCTCTACTAAAAATACAAAAATTAGCCAGGTGTGGTTGCTGGCACCTGTAATCCTAGCTACTCAGGAGGCTGAGGCAAGAGAATTTCTTAAACCCGGGAGGCAGAGGTTGCAGTGAGCCAAAATCACACCACTGCACTCCAGCCTGGGTGACAGAGCAAGACTCCATCTCCAAAAGAAAAAAATAAAGTTAAAATAGAAAGGATTTAAGAATTACTTGAATTCTAATGGATTAGAGAGGCAGGGATACATTTTTGTTTTTAATTGAGCTAACACTGGGAATGGGGGGTTCTAACAGCTGTTGGTTCTTGCGTTTTCCTATTTGTGAATTTATTCACAATTTTATTATTATTTTTATTTTTTATTTTTTATTTTTTTTTTGAGACGGAGTTTCGCTCTTGTTACCCAGGCTGGAGTGCAATGGCACGATCTTGGCTCACCGCAACCTCCGCCTCCTGGGCTCAGGCAATTCTCCTGCCTCAGCCTCCTGAGTAGCTGGGATTATAGGCATGCGCCACCATGCCCAGCTAGTTTTTTGTATTTTTAGTAGAGACGGGGTTTCACCATGTTGACCAGGATGGTCTCGATCTCTCGACCTCGTGATCCACCCGCCTCAGCCTCCCAAAGTGCTGGGATTACAGGCTTGAGCCACTGCGCCCAGCTATTATTATTTTTAATTGGAGTCTCACTCTTGTCGCCCAGGCTGGAGTGCAATGGCGTGATCTTGGCTCACTGCAACTTCCACCTCCCGGGTTCAAGCGATTTTCCTGCCTCAGCTTCCCAAGTAGCTGGGATTACAGGTGCCCGCCACCAAGCCCAGTTAATTTTTTTTTTTTAAGTAGAGGCGGGGTTTTCACCATGTTCGCCAGGTTGGTCTTGAACTCCTGACATCAAGTGATCACTTCGCCTTGGCCTCCCAAAGTGCTAGGATTACAGGCATGAGCCACTGTGCCTGGCCTGTTCACAAATTTTTTTTTTTTATTATTACAGAACGGTTTTGTTCAGCATCTAGAATTATGGGCCTGAATACTTAACAGAAGGCATTTCCCAAGTCATCATGGAGTAATGTTGTACACGAGCAGAACTTTCCCAAACCGTCCAGCACCCTCCCAACCTACCCTCCCACCACCCCACCCCCCCCCGCTTTTTTTTGTTTGTTTGTTTTTAAGAGACAGGGTCTTACTCTTCCACCCAGACTGGAATGCAGTGGCACAATCATGGCTCACTGCAGTGTCAAACTCATGGGCCCAAGTGATCCTCCCACCTGAGCCTCCCCGGTAGCTGAGACTGCTAGTACATGCCACTATACCTGGCTAATTTGTTTTATTTTTTTGTAGAGATAGGATCTCACTATGTTGCCCAGGTTGTTCTCTAACTCCTGGCCTCAAGCAGTTCTCCCACCTCAGCCTCCCAGAATGTTAGGGTTATAGGCATGAGCCACCATGTGAGGCCAGCACCCCCACCCCTACGTTCCCCTTTTTATTTTTTGAAGCAGGGCTTTTGCTGTGTTGCCCAGACTGTAATGTAGTGGCACAAGCACAGCTCATTGCAACCTTAACCTCCCAGGCTCAAGCAGTCCTCCAATCTGAGTTTCCCAAGTAACTGGGACCACAGGCACCAGCCATCACATCCAGCTAAATTTTTTTTTTAATTTTTATTTTTTAGACAGTCTTGCTCAACCGCCCAGGTGGAGTGTGGTAGCACAGTGTTGTCTCACTGCAACCTCTGCCTCCCAGGCTCAAGTGACTTTCGTGCCTCAGCCTCCTGAGTAGCTGGGACTACAGGTGCACACCACCGTGCCTGGCTAAGTTTTGTTTTTAGTAGAAATGGGGTTTTGCCATGTGGGCCAGGCTGGTCTCGAACTCTTGACCTCAAGTTAATCAAGCCACCTTGGCCTCCCATAGTTCTGGGATTACAGGCGTGAGCCACTGCGCTGAGTTACCAGCTAATTTTTAAATCTTTTGTAGCAATTGAGTCTCCCTCTGTTGCCCAGGCTCAGTATCCCTTTTTTCTTTTTTTTTGATTGTAATAGATATGAGGTCTTGCTGTTTTGTCCAGGCTGGTCTTGAACTCCTGGCCTCAAGCAGTCCTCCTACCTTGGCCTCCCAGGGTGCCAGGATTATAGGTATGAGCTTCCACACTTGACCTGACCTTACCTTTCATTCTTTTTTTTGTAGCATTCCTCCCCACTTTTTTTTTGAGACGGAATCTTTCTCTGTTGCCCAGGCTAGAGTGCAGTGGCGCAATCTCTGCTTCCCAGGTTCAAGCCATTCTCCTGCCTCAGCTACCCGAGTAGCTGGGATTACAGGCGCACGCCACCACACCTGGGTAATTTTTTTTTTTTGTACTTTTAGTAGAGATGGGCTTTCACCATGTTGGCCACGCTGGTCTCAAACTCCTGGCCTCAGGTGATCCACCAGCCTTGGACTCCCAAATTGCTGGGATTGCAGGCATGAGCCATCGTGCCTAGTCCAGCATCCCTTTTTTAGTAGGAGAATTATAGAACCATTTGCTCTGCTTACTTTATCAAATGCTCTTCTGAAACAATAAACCCATTCCTTTTGTTAACCAAATTGTTGAAGTAAGTTCTGCCAGAACCAGTTGTTTTATTGATTGAAGGGAAAGATTTTTTTTTCTTTTTTCTTTTTTTAATAAAGCCAGGGTTTCATTCTGTTGGCCAGGCTGGTCTTGAACTCCTAACCTCAGGTGATCCACCCGCCTCGGCCTCCCAAAGTGCTGAGATTACAGGCGTGAGCCACCACGCCCAGCCTCCCCTTTCTTGAGACAGAGTCTGTCTCTGTTGCCCTGGCTGGAGTGCAGTGTTGCAATCTCAGCTCACTGCAACCTCTGCCTCTTAAGCTCAAATGATCTTCCCACCTCGGCCTCACAAGAAGCTGGGACTACAGGCATGTACCAGCCAGCACACCCTGCTAATTTTTGTATTTTTGGTAGAGACAGGGTTTCATCATGTTGCCCAGGCTGGTCTCAAACCCCTGGGCTCAAGTGATCCACCGACCTCCACCTCCCAAAGTGCTGGGATTATAGGTGTGAGGCACTGCGCCCAGTCTTAGGTCAGTTTAATCATTGTTAGTATATGAGTTCAAGAACTATAAAATTTAGAATCATATCATTTCAAGAACTTTTAATTAAATGGAGTTGAGGTCTTCCATAGAAATAGGCCAATCAACTAGAGAATAAGATATATGCCAGCAAATACTAAAATTTAATCAGAATCCTCTGTAAGTAGCAATTAAAGGAGATGTTCACATTTTACAACTTCTTCCATTATCATTGAATTAATGCTTATTAGAAATTTTGGATAGAAAGGGGCCTTTCCTTGAATGTCTTATAATTTCCTCAAGTTACTAGATGGGATAATGAATGGAATCTGTTGCCTACTGACTCCACACCTATGTTAAGCCAAGCTTCTCTTTGTGTGTACAGGTACAACAGAATAGCTCGGGAATGGACTCAGAAGTATGCGATGTAATTAAAGAAATTATTGGATAACCTCTACAAATACAGATAGGGGAACTCTGAAAGAGAAAAGTCCTTTTGATTTCCATTTGACTGCTTTCTATGAGCCCACGCCTCATCTTCCCCTGTGCACATGTTTACCTGATACAGCAGTGCTGCGTGTTGTACATACTTGGAACAACAAACTAGAAATACTGTACTTCTGTACCAACATTGCCTCCTAGCAGAGAAGTGTGTGTGTGACAAGCCAGTTCTACAGGCATTACCTAGGTGTGAGACTAAAAGCTTTCCTTATTGACTTAAATTTGGATAACAGCAAGGTGTGAGGGGGGTGGTGGGTATTATGGTGTGTGCTTGGATGGGAAAGAAAAAGCTCCACTCACCTGTAGGAGATTATTTTTAAGTGGAATCCATTTAAACTCAAAACAGTTATGAAAAGCAAGGTGAAGAACATGAAGCTGTGTCTGTATTCATTTTATTCCGAAGGAGCTACGTCTTAGGTGAAAGTTATGACCAACCAGATTAAACTCTACCCACATCCTGCATTTTAAGGTCTAAGTTTAACTGGTCAACATTTAAATGGATTGGAGCTATTAGTACATCAAGTGTAATGGGCTTTGTTCCCAACTCTTTTACATCTCCCTACCCCTTCAACCTTTGGCCTTTCAGCCCTTCTTTCTCTCTTCCATATTCTTTGGTTTGTATGTGGTTTCTCAGTTAATACATAGCTAATAGCTCTTATTTTTCTTATGTTTTTAACTGCTTAGGTCTATTTGGATGTAAGGGTGAAAATTCATTTGATGGAAATACTTGTGTATATTTAAAGACCCAGTTGCTCCTCTGGAGCTTGTACGTTCAAGAATGATTAATCTGTGTAATAAACTGATTACTACAGTCATTACATACAATTTTGTGTGAATAGGCTTTCTGATTTTTAAGAAGTTTGTGTAGCTGAGATTAGTGGTGGATTTTCTCCCATCCCTGAAATGTTCATTTATACTGGTTGCATTTTAAAATCATGAAACAATTCCAGTAACATAGTAAAAAGGATATCCTAAGAGTAATTTTATTAAACAAGATAGAGGCATAAGCTTAAGAGCATTTCCATGAAACTTGACACATGCAGCATTCCAGGAACATGACAGTTACATTCAATAAGAAATTTGCTTTATGAATGAAACTAAGCTGCATTTCACCAAAATCTTGTGACATTCCCTTGGTACATAGTACATAAAACACAAAGGCATTGCTAGTTGGTAAGTTAAGCCTCTGTGATTGTAATTATAAAAGAGCAACATTGACTAAACCTGGGAAACAAGAGCACAATCTTGTTTTGGAGAGTCTGCATAATTACTTTGCACTAACATTTGCAGGATGATCATCCAATTTTAAATTGTACTGTATGTGGCTTTTTGAAGTCTTCCATTGACTCTAGTAAAATGTAGCTTGAAACCTGTAAACAGCTGTGTTTGCCAGAAACATCATTCATGTGAACTAGGCAAGTTACCTTTTTTTTTTTTTTTTTTTGAGACGGAGTTTCGCTCTTGTTACCCAGGCTGGAGTGCAATGGCGCGATCTCGGCTCACCGCAGCCTCCGCCTCCTGGGTTCAGGCAATTCTCCTGCCTCAGCCTCCTGAGTAGCTGGGATTACAGGCACGCACCACCATGCCCAGCTATTTTTTTTGTATTTTTAGTAGAGACGGGGTTTCACCATGTTGACCAGGATGGTCTCGATCTCTTGACCTTGTGATCCACCCGCCTCGGCCTCCCAAAGTGCTGGGATTACAGGCTTGAGCCACCGCGCCCGGCCACCTTTTTTTTTTTTTTTTTTTTTTTAATTCTTTTCCCAGTCTAATTGTCAACTAGGCCAACCTGAAAGCCATGGCTGATGCTCTAGCCATCAGTTTCTTTAAAATGCATCTTTACACTCTTGCACAAAAATTGAGGAATAAATGTCCACTGCTTTTGGTTTTAAACTTGTTCACCTTGCCTTATCTCTCACTGTCACTGCTCCTCCACCTTGGAACTTGTGTGATAAAACCCAGAAACTCCTGTGGGGAAAGGAGTTAGAATTTGGCTTAAGCCTAAAATCACCCTGTATTCTAAGTATTAATGAGCAATTGGGAATTCATCAGTTTTTTGTTTTTAGTTTTTTTTTTTAGAGAGACAGGGTCTTATTCTCTTGCCTAAGCTGGAGTGCAGTCAGAGGCATGATGACAGCTCACTGCAGCCTTGACCTTCTGGGCTCAGGCAGTCCCCCTGCCTCAACCTCCCAAATAGCTGGGACTTATGGCTACTTGGCACATGCCACCACACCTGGCTAATTTTTAATTTTTTTTTAGAGACGGGGGTTTCTTTGTGTTGCCCAAGCTGGTCCTGAACTCCTGGGCTCAAGCAGTCCTCTTGCCTCGGCCTCCCAAAGAGGTGGGACTACAGGCATGAGCCACAATACCCAGCCTACCATCAATTACTGGCTCGCTATTAACTATATACTGTTGACTGTGGGTCAGTTGCACAGATTTTAAAGCTCATTCTATATTTGCCTGTCATTTTAGCAGCCAGCTTATTACCATTTATTAGGTCATAATACGGATGTTTTCACAAGAGTGTTCTTAGGTATTTTTAAGTGCCAAATAAAAGCCATCATCCTGGTGTGCAAGTGCCAAATGAAAGGGTTTGGATGGTCACAAACAACATTAGGCCCTTGAATGCAGTTTTGTCTTGCCCATTTGAATATGAAGCTTGTTTGGCCCAGTCTGTGTGTATGTGCCTGGCCAGAATGAAAGCCCAGTTGGGGAAGCCACTTTTCCCACTCACCAAAAAAAAAAAAAAAGGAAAAAATAGTCCCTCGGGGTGGTTTTTGTCTGGGACCACATTGCCCTTCACAGCAGTTTCTATGGCTTTGTCATAAGTAAAAACCAGTCTGCAACAAGCAGCCTTGATTATCTTGGAAAAGTTACAGGAGAACATCAAGTGTATGGTTTCCTTTTGCTTCTTCATATAGAGTACTTTGTCACGTTAAAGCTGGAGCAGTGTCTTTTGGTAAAACAAAGTCACTTCAGATACTTACATGCTTTGTTATTGGCCAGTCGTGGAAGATAGCATTATCCTGGGACTAGTATAAAGACTTGGAAGGGGCCGGGCGCGGTGGCTCAAGCCTGTAATCCCAGCACTTTGGGAGGCCGAGGCGGGTGGATCACGAGGTCGAGAGATCGAGACCATCCTGGTCAACATGGTGAAACCCCGTCTCTACTAAAAATACAAAAAACTAGCTGGGCGTGGTGGCGCGTGCCTGTAATCCCAGCTACTCAGGAGGCTGAGGCAGGAGAATTGCCTGAACCCAGGAGGCGGAGGTTGCGGTGAGCCGAGATCGCGCCATTGCACTCCAGCCTGGGTAACAAGAGTGAAACTCCATCTCAAAAAAAAAAAAAAAAAAAAGACTTGGAAGGAGGGCTGTAGGAGTGGGGAGGAAGAAGTTAGGAAGGCCTGTGGAGAGAAGGAAAAGGTTGTCAGAGAGTTTCTCTACACTAACCTAGCAATAGAGGCATTCTTTTTCTACTTCCAAGTGCTAAAATACTCTACTTTCTATATTTTTTCCTCTTTGCCTCAGCAAGTTATTTTGAGTCCTGTGTACCTTGTCAGGGGGAATGGATTATTGCTAAGTTATGATTGGAATGCATATAAACTGTCCCTTGTCTATAATTAAGATGAAACTCAGGCTTTGTCTCAGTGTGCTACATGGCACCCCGTAACTACCCAGCGTAAGTTTTTAAGAAAGGAACTCTTCCATTCCTAGGTCTTCCAGATTATAAACACATCTCCTTCCTTCCAAATCAGAAGTATGCATCTTTTATTACCTCCTACAGAAAGCTGTCACTAGTGTTAGGAATCCATCTCCTTTTAATTTCCTCATTTTCCCTTTATGAAACTATTTCAAATGATGGATTATTTTGGTGAGTGTGATATTAGGCAGGAGAAAGCAGGTTTTTTGTTGTGGTTCTCACTCTGTCGCCCAGGCTGGAGTACAGTGGTGCAATCTTGGCTCACTGCAACCTCCACCTCTTGAGTTCAAGTGATTTTCCTGCCTCAGCCTTCTGAGTAGCTGGGATTACAGGCACATGCCACTATTCCTGGCTAATTGTTGTATTTTTAGTAGGGACGGAGTTTCACCATGTTGGCCAGGCTGGTCTTGAACTCCTGACCTCAGGTGATCTGCCAACCTCTGCTTCCCAAAGTGCTGGAATTATAGGCATGAGCCACTGCTCATGGCCAAGAAAGCAGATTTTTAATATGAAAATAACTGAAGGTAGCAAACTATTTGCACTATACATCCAAAAAGAGAAAATAGGCTTATTTTGGGGCGCTCCTGGAGCTGGTCGCTTTCCCTTTTCTACCTTTCCCTCTCTTCCCCCTTTTCTCCCCTTTTGCTTTTCTTTTTTCTTTTCTCTCTTTCCTTCCCCCTTTTTTTTCTTTTTCTTTTTCTTTTTTTTTTTTTTTTTTAAGCTCAATCAGCCCACCTCGGCCTCCTAAAGTGCTGGGATTACAGGCATGAGCCACTTCGCCTGGCCTATTTTCTTTTATATTGTGCATGCACTTAGATGAAAACTGGCTTTCTCTCAGTTTTCTCCACCCCACAAAAGCCTTCTTTAAGTGTTTCCCTGGCACTGTAACCTTTTTTAGTCAAGACTGGTATAAGTGGTATTCAGGCCCCTCTGAATATTTCCAGACCAGTTCCTCGGATGGGCTTAGAAATAGGGAAATGAGACCGGATCGCATTGTCAGGGTTACTATTTATGAAGCAATTCCTTCATTGTTGCCATATTTTACCTTAGTCAGTACAAGGAGAAAAGCTCAATGGTTAGGGCTAAATAAGCCTTTACGGCTTTTGTCTTCTGGCTGAATGTATAGTACAGTCCCCAACCGGCTTTACTCTTTCTCGGTGTCTGCTTCTGGTCTGGGTGAGGCAGACGTTTTTGTAATGAGCAGTCACTTTTCATCATTGAATTATTTGTGGATCTTTATCTGATCAGAGGCACAGTGTAATCTGCCTCTTAGCAGATGTAAAACTATATGAATACCTTAGTGCTAAGACAACAGCTTAATAGTTTTCTTTAACTGAGAGGGCTTTCTTTTTCTTTTTCTTTTTCTTTCTTTTTTTTTTTTTTTTTTTTTTTTTTTTTTTTTTGTGATGGAGTCTCACTCTCACCCAGGTTGGAGTGCAATGGTGTGGTCTCAGCTCACTGCAATCTGTGCCTCCCAGGTTCAGGTGATTCTCTGCTGCAGCCTCCTGAGTAGCTGGGACTATAGGCGCATGCCACCACACCCGGCTAATTTTTGTATTTTTAGTAGATACGGAGTTTCACTATGTTGGCCAGGCTGGTCTCAAATTCCAGACCTCAGGATCCACCCGCCTCAGCCTCCCAAAGTGCTGGGATTACAGGCATGAGCCACCGTGCCTGGCTGTTTCCTCTTAACGTCTTGTGTAAGTTGTTATTGGTAGAATGGCTTTTTCCAGAGCTCAGAAGCCTGATTGCCCAACATTGCACTTTGAAAGCAAATGGTTGATCCCATTTAGAAAAGCCAAGAAGAAGGCCGGGCGCGGTGGCTCAAGCCTGTAATCCCAGCACTTTGGGAGGCCGAGGCGGGTGGATCACGAGGTCGAAAGATCGAGACCATCCTGGTCAACATGGTGAAACCCCGTCTCTACTAAAAATACAAAAAAAAAACTAGCTGGGCATGGTGGTGCATGCCTGTAATCCCAGCTACTTAGGAGGCTGAGGCAGGAGAATTGCCTGAGCCCAGGAGGCGGAGGTTGCGGTGAGCCGAGATGGCGCCATTGCACTCCAGCCTGGGTAACAAGAGCGAAACTCCGTCTTAAAAAAAAAAAAAAAGAAAAGAAAAGAAA